CCAATTAAAAAATGGGGAACAGAGCTAAACAGAGAATTCTCAACAGAGGAATATCAAATGGCAGAGAAACACTTAAAGAAATGCTCATCCTCATTAGCAATCAGGGAAATGCAAATCAAAACGACCCTGAGATATCACCTTATACCCATTAGAATGGCCAAGATGAAAAACTCAAGGGACAATACATGCTGGAGAGGTTGTGGAGAAAGGGGAACCCTCCTCCACTGCTGATGGGAATGTAAACTGATACAACCACTCTGGAAATCTATCTGGCGCTTTCTAAGACAATTAGGAGTAGTGCTTCCTCACGACCCAGCTATACCACTGCTAGGTATATACCCAAAGTTTGCTCAAGTACACAAAAGGGATATTTGCTCAACCATGTTTATAGCAGCATTATTTGTAATAGCCAGAACCTGGAAACAACCCAGATGTCCATCAACAGAGGAATGGGTACAGAAATTGTGGTATTTTTACACAATAGAATACTACTCAGCAATCAAAAAGGAGGAAATCATGAAATTTGCAGGCAAATGGTAGGATCTAGAAAAGATCATCCTGAGTAAAATATCCCAGAAGGAGAAAGATAAACACGGTATATACTCACTTATATAGACCTATAAGATATGATAAACATAATGAAATCTACACACCTCAAAAGGATAATCAAGAGAGTGGACATGGGGTAAGATTATCAATCCTCGTTTAGAAAGACAGATGGGATGCGCATTGAACATATGACAGGAGTCTACTGAGCGCATTTGAAAGACTCTAACTAGCAGTGTTTTCAAAGCAAACACTCATGACCAAACCTTTGGCAGAGTACAGGGAATCATAAGAAAGAAGGGGAGTTAGTCTGATGAGGAAAGGATAGGAGCTCCACAAGGACCAAATATATTTGGGCACAGGGTCTTTTCTGAGACTGACATGTAACCAAGGACCATGTATGAATGTAACCTAGAACCTCTGCTCAGATGTAGCCTGTGGTAGCTCAGTAACCAATTGGTTTCCCATAGTGAGGGGAACAAGGACTATTTCTAACAGGAACTCAATGACTGGCTCTTTGGTCTCCCCACCCCCCAAGGGAGGAGCAGTCCTGTTAGGCCACAGAGGAGGACTTTGCAGCCAGTCCTGAAGATACCTGATAAAACAGGATCAGATGAGTGGGGAGGAGGTCCCCCCATTAGTGGACTTGGCATGGGGCACATTGGAGAGGAGGGAGGGAGGGAGGGAGGGACTGGGAGGGAATGAGGGATCCGGACACGACTGGGATACAGAGTTAATAAAATGTAACTGATAAGAAAAAAATAAAATTCAAAAAAAAAAAAAGAAATACGTTTTTCCCAGCAAAAAAATCAAGTGATCCAATTAAAAAATGGAGCACAGAGCTAAACAGAGAATTCTCAATAGAGGAATATCAAATGGCAGAGAAACACTTAAAGAAATGTTCAACTTCATTAGCCATCAGGGAAATACAAATCAAAATGACCCTAAGATTTCACCTTATACCCATCAGAACAGCTAAGAACAAATACTCAAGAGACAACACATGCTGGAGAAGTTGTGGGGAAAGGGGGATCCTCCTCCACTGCTGTTGGGAATGTAAACTTGTACAACCACTCTGGAAAGCAATCTGGTGCTTTCTCAGACAACTAGGAATAGCGCTTCCTCAAGATCCAGCTATACCACTCCTAGGCATATGCCCAAAAGAGTCTCAAGTACACAATAAGGACATTTGTTCAACCATGTTTGTAGCAGCCTTATTTGTAATAGCTAGAAGCTGGAAACAACCCAGATGCCCCTCAGTGGAGGAATGGATGCACAAATTGTGGTATATCTACACAATGGAATATTACTCAGCAATAAAAAACAAGGAAATCATGAAATTTGCAGGTAAATGGTGAGATCTGGAAAATATCATCCTGAGTGAGCTGACCCAGAAGCAGAAAGACACACAAGGTATATACTCACTCATATAGACATATAATATAGGATAAACCTACTAAAATCTGTACACCTAAAGAAACTAATCAAGAGGGAGGACTCTTGCTAAAATGCTCAATTCCTATCCAGAGAGGCAAACAGGATAGACATCAGAAGAAGGAGAAAAGAGGGAACAAGTCAGGAGCCTGACACAGAGGACCTCTGAAAGGCTCTGCCCTGCAGACTATCAATACAGATAGTGAGACTTAAGGGCAACCTTTGGGCAGAGTGCATGGAATCTTAAGAAAGAAGTGGGAAACAGTGAGATCTGGAGAGGGAAGAACTCCACAAGGAGAGCAACAGAACTAAAAATTCTGAGCACATGGGTCTTTCCTGAGACTGATACTCCAACCAAGGACTATGCATGGAGATAACCTAAGACCCTTTCACAGATGTAGCCCATGACAGTTCAGTATCCAAGTGGGTTCCATTGTAATAGGAACAGGGACTGTCTCTGACATGAACTGATTGGCCTGCTATTTAATTACCTCCCGCTGAGGAGGAAGCAGCATTACCAGGCCACAGAAGAAGACAATGCAGCTACTCCTGATGAGACCTAATTGACTAGGGTCAGAAGGAAGAAAAAGAAGACCTCTCCTAGCAGTGGACTTGGGGAGGGGCACACATGCAGTGGGTGGAGGAAGGCAGGGATTAGGACAGGAGGAGGGAGAGAATCACAGGGGGGATATAAAGTGAATAAAGTGTAATAAAGAATTAAAAAAAAGAAATATGTTTTTCCAAGACAGACACTGGAAGCGGTAGAAGACAGGAAACAGGGCAGGAGCCTACCATAGATGTCCTCTGAATGATTACAGCCAGCAGGGGATCAAAGAAGATGCAGAGACTCACAGCCAAACTTTGGGCAGAGGGTAGGGAGTTTTATGCAAGAAAGTGTGGCAGACAGAAAGACCCCAAGGGGACAGGAGTTCCCCAAGGAGACCAACAAAGCCAAAAAATCTGGGCCCAGAGGCCCTGCAGACACTGATGTACCAACCAAGAACCATGATTGGAGAGGACCTACATACCATGCTAAGATGTAGCCCATAGGCAGCTCAATCTCCATGTGGGTCTCCTAGTAAGTGGAGCAGGGTTTATCTCTGACATGAACTGGGTTACCTGCTTTTTGATCACTTCCCTCTAGTGGTGTGGCCTTACCAGGCCACAGAGGAAGAAAATACAAGCAGTCCTGATGAGACTTGATAGACTAGGGTCAAGTGGCAGAGGAGGACTCCCTCTTTCAGTGGACTAGGGAAAAGGGATTGGGGGAGAAATGGAGGGAGGGAGAAATCAAGAAGAGATGAGGGAGGAGGCGATAATAGGGCTATAAAGTGAATAAATTATAAAAAATAATAAAAAATTTAAAAATTAAAAAGAAGTATGTTTTTCCAAGTGTGCTAAAATATGAAGTAACTGTTTGACGTAACTTTTTTGAGGCAGGCACAATTATAAATAATGACATGTTCAAAGCCTTGTTGGCCTTGAACTCAGTGATCTACCTGCTTCTGCTTCACATATACTGGGATTGAAAGCATGGATAACCATGCCCAGCGTAACTTGTTAATTAAATCAATGACTACATTGATTTTATAAAAAAAAAAAAAAATCCCCTGCACAGATGTAATCCATGGCAGTTTAGTGTCTAAGTGGGTTCCATAGTAATGGGAAGAGGGACTGCCTCTGACACCATCTGATAGGCCTGCTCCTTGATCACCTCCCCCTGAGGGGAGTGCAGTCTTACCAGGCCACAGAAGATGACAAAGCAGCCACTTCAGATGTGATCTGATAGACTAAGATCAGAAGGAAGGAGAGGAGGACCTCCCCTATCAGTGGACTTGGGAAGGGGCATGCATGAAGAAGGGGGAGGGAGGGTGGGATCGGGAGGGGAAGAGGGAGGGGCTTATGGGGGGATACAAAGTAAATAAAGTGTAAAAAAAATAAAAAATAAAATAAAAAAATAAAACAATAAGTAAATTAAAAAAAAAAAAGTAGCTAGGCTCAATAGCACATGCCTGCAATCCCTGAAACAATAAAATACAAATTTTCTCATGATACCTGGGGGCACTGTTTTTATCATGTACCTAAAAGCATTATGCCCCTAATTTCATTTTCTAAGTACCTACCCTCAATCTAATTTACAGGAACAGGCAGTTTGCAGCACAGTATTATAAACCTAGTATCTGTTATCTTCACCTGTGATGCAACCACTCTGTATTTCATGCTTAAGAATCAAAACCAGGCCAGGCAAGTGGTGGCATGCCTTCAGTCCAGCACCTGGGAGGCAGAGGCAGAGACATTTCTGTGAGTTTGAGACCAGCCTGGTCTACAGAGTGAGTTCGAGAACAGCCAGGGGTACACAGAGAAACCCTGTCTCAGGGGGGAAAAGAAAAGAATCAAAACCAGCAGTCCACCACCTTCTATGAACAACTGGGAGCAGAGTGTCCCCGAAAGGTCTGTGCTTTGAAGGCAGTGGAGCCTTCAGAAGAGGGGGGTCTGGTTACTGGAAGAAGGTTACTGAGGACAAGGCTTCAAGCGTTTTAGTCCAGCTCTGGTTCTGGTTCATCTCTTCTGCTTCTTGGTCAGCAAAAAAATGTGAAGGAGGAGTCTGCACAATACTTCTACCACTGTAAACCCATTCCTTATCTAATGTGATGGGCAGAAATCCCTTGAAACCATGAGCCAAAAAGGAATCTCTCCTTTAGGTTGTTACTGTCAGGTACTTTTGTCATGGCAACTTAAAAGTTTAGGTAGCTTAGAAATTACTTAAAGCATGTGAGAGGATGTGCCCAGGTTATATACAAATATGATGGCATTTTCTAGAAAGGGCTGAGGCATATACAGGTTCTGGTATCCAAAAGAGGAATCCTGGAACAGTCTTTAGAAGCTAATGAGAGAAAATTATAATTTTAAGTTGACATGCACATCGAGATCTCTAACACATGTACACGCCACACAGGCTTGGCACTTTAACATTGCATGCCTTTCTGTTTTGGTGAATAAAGAAGAGGCACACATCTCACCTTTTGACCACAAGCTTCAGAGTCTTGTGGGAGCCTTTCACCAGGCAAATTGCTTCTTGTCTGAATCCTGAGAGACTCACATCATTGATGGCCACGATCTCATCTCCAGCGAGTAGCTTGTCAACTGCTGCAGCCTTGCTTCCTTCTTCAATCTGTGATAGAGAAGTGGGTTCCATTAACATTCCTGAACAATAGCAAGGCCCTCTCACGTAGCTTGGAATATAACATGGGCAGGCTTCAAGCAGGTCACAGTTTTAGGAAAACTCAAGAGTAAAAGGAAACAGGAAGCTTGGGAGAAACAGGCCCTGGAAGCTGAGCTCATTCCCACAAAAGGACCAAGGTTACACTAATACAATGCCAGCATCCCTCATCCTGGTTAGTCCCCAGGACACATGTACACTGAAGAAAGAATGGAAAGACTCAGAAAACCATATAACCAAAACAAAGGACCCCAAACCAGATTCATATTCTGAAATTCCTTACCCCGATCAATAATTTTGAATCATTTGCTAGTTACCTTAATCCATTACCTTGTTTTAGTGGCACTTTTGAGATATAATTCAAATTCCATATATCCACTCATAAAAGCCAAGTTTTAGTTCATTCAGAGTTGCACAGTCACCATCAATTTCAGAACATTTCCTTGACTCCAGGAAACTTCATGCTCATGAAGCAGTCTGGTTATAATATTCCTAATACTGGTCTTTTCTTTTCTTACTTTCTATCCTTCAGTATGGGAGAATGAACCCAGCCCCAACTGAGCTATGTCCCTAGTACTATTCATTCATCACTCACTCATTCACTGAGAAAGAGTCTCATTATATAGCCCAGGGTAACCTTGAACTTACGATCCCCTTGACTCAGCTTCTGGAGTAGCTGGGATTTCAAGGCTTCACTGCCACCACCATCCACCTTTCTAATACACTCTCTAAGTCTACAGATTTTTCTGCTTTGGAAACTTCATATAAATAGAGTCATCTAATATATATGGCCTCTTAAAAAATTTATTTATTTATTTATTTATTTATTTATTTATTTATTTATTTATCTATCTATCTATCTATCTATTTATTTATTTTTGCTGGATCATATTTTCTTTTTGGATTTGGTTAGGAAAACACATAAATCAGACAACTGAAATGTGCAGACAAAATTTCTGACTCCACAAAAAAATAAATATTTCTTTGGTTTGCATCTAATAAAACAGAGAAGTCATTCACTTGACAGAAAGTGGGCTCCCGAAGCAGCGGTTGGGCCGACATCTGCTGTACGTAGGGCTGTACGTTCGGGGTAACCAGACTGTGTGGACACGTTGCAGGATGAGTTTCCGATGATGCTGTTGTTGACACTCGCAAATGGGGGAAGACTTTCAGAGATGCTCTTCTTATTACTGAGACTTTAGTGCCTTTTCCTTCTTTGTGTGGCATATCCAAGGACATACAGATAGCTCCTGGCAGTACTGTCAGGATTACATTCAAAGTGTGTCTCCACACTTTTGCTGATGCGGTCGTTCTTGGCCGTCTTACTTGTCTCTGTCTGTGCTCACACGCTTAAAGGAAGACTCCCTTAACACAAAGATAGTCTATTTATACTAACAGGAACACTGATAAGAAACATATCTTTGTTTTCCATTTTTTTTTCCTTTCAGGATTTTTTTTACTGTTATTTTATTTTATTTTTAGTTACACTTTATTTATTTTGTATCCCCCCTCTAGTTTCGCCTCCCAATCCCTCCCTTCCTCCTCCTTCTCCACACACGCCGCTCCCCAAGTCCACTGGTAGGAAAAGGTTTCTTTTTCTTCCTTCTGATCCTAGTCTGTTAGGTTTCATCAGGAGTGGCTGCATTGTCTTCCTCTGTGGCCTGGTAAGGCTGCTCCCCCCTTAGGGAGAGATGATCAAAGAGCAGGCCAATCAGTTCATGTCAAAAGCAGTCCCTGTTTCCATTACTATGGAACCCACTTGGACACTGAACTGCCATGGGCTACATCTGTGCAGGGGTTCTAGGTTATCTCCATGAATGGTACTTGGTTGTAGTATGAGTCTCAGAAAAGACCCCTGTGCTCCTTTTTTTTGTTTGTTTTGTTGCTCTAAAAGTGGACCTCCTGTCCACTGCTGGTGGAAATGTAAACTTGTACAACCACTCTGGAAATCAATCTGACACTTTCTCATACAACTAGGAATAGCGCTTCCCCAAGATCCAGCTATACCACTCCTCGGCATACATCCAAAAGAGTCTCAAGTACACAATAAGGACATTTACTCAACCATGTTTGTAGCAGCCTTATTTGTAATAGCTAGAAGCTGGAAACAACCAGATGCCCCTCAGTGGAGGAATGGATACAGAAATTGTGGTATATCTACACAACGGAATATTACTCAGCAATAAAAAACAAGGAAATCATGAAATTTGCAGGTAAATGGTGGGAACTGAAAAAGATCATCCTGAGTGAGCTATCCCAGAAGCAGAAAGACACACATGGTATATACTCACTCATATAGGCGTATAATATAGGATAAACCTACTAAAATCTGTACACCCAAAGAAACTAATCTAGAGGGAGGACTCTGGCTAAAATGCTCAATCCCCACTCGGAAAGGCAAAGAGGATGGACACCAGAAGAAGAAAACAGGAAACAAGTTAGGAGCCTCCCACAGAGGACCTCTGAAAGGCTCTGCCCTGCAGACTGTCAAAGCAGATGTTGAGACTTATGACCAAACTTTGGGCAGAGTGCAGGGAATCTTATGAAAGAAGTGGGAAATAGTAAGATATGGAGAGGACAGGAGGATATATGGCCTTATAATGTTTAGTTTCTGTCATTTAGCATAGTATTTTCAGTATGCAGCTTTGTTATATAGCATGTTATTACTTCATTATGTTTTATGGTTAAATAATATGGTATGAACAAAGTATATTTTGTTCAGATCTCTTAGCTTATACTCATGTAAGTTTTTCTGTTTTTATTCGTTATGAATAATGCTTTCATAAATACCGGCATTCAAGGTTGTATGTGAACATGTTTTTGTTTTTGTTTTTGTTTTTTTGTTGGGCATACCTACAAAAAGAAATGATGGGTCCTATGGTAATCATATTTAATATTCTAAGGAACTGTAAGCTGTTTTCCAAAACAACCACAGTATTTCATTTCCCAGAGGCAGTCCATAAAGATTCTGAATTCTCCATATTCTTGTTAACACTTTTATATTTACCACAAAGACACATACCTGTTTAAAAAGGTGTGTACCACCATAGAATATGAGACAAAAGGATCCTGAGTTTGAAAACAGCCTGGAGTATATGGTGAGACGCTGTCTCAAAAAAAGAAAACCAGCTAACAGATTGTACACTGAGCACCACACCATTTGATTACCAGTGGGGTTCTTCCAAGAGACAAAGACAGGAGATTTCTACAACTTTCAGGCCAACCTGAGCTACAAAATGAAACCCTGCTTCTAAAGAATTACCAAAATAAATATATCTACATATTTTCTTAAAATCTCTACCAACTCCTCAGGAGAACTGAGGTTTCATGCTAAAAAAGAAATTATTCACTATAGGTCAGTATTATACAAAAAATTAAAATAGTACTTCTACCTTGTCCTGAAGGAACAAGATTGTAATCTCTACTACTCGGGAGGCTTAGGCAGTAACTTAGCCACCCTTGCTCCCAAACCAAAAACAAAAAAAAAAAAAAAAAAAAAAAAAAAAAAAAACTGAGCTGGGGGCAGCAAGATGTTTCAGCAGACAAAGGTGCTTGCTGTCAAGCCTGATGGACTGATTTTGATCCCCAGGCCCCACATGGTAAAAAGAGAGAACCAACACTCACTCAATGGAAGTAGAAAACTGACTCTTGCAAGTTGTCCAGAGTTCCACAGGTATCTCTCTCTCTCTTTCTCTCTCTCTCTCTCTCTCACACACACACACACACACAGAGAGAGAGAGCTGAATAATTGAAATAATGAATGAAATAATGAATGAAATTTTAACATTTTATGAAAAATGGGCTAGGGATGTAATTTAGTGGTGAAGCACTTGTCTTTGCTCATGAGGCCTCTCGGGTTCAAACAATCACTCCTAACAAAAACAGGAAGTAGTCCACCTAATAAAACTCACTTCAAAAATCCAGATTTTTTTTTCTTCTTGAAACAGGATCTAACTGTATAGTCCTGACTGACCTACAACTTGCTTTATTGACAAGGATGTACTCAGACTCACAGAGAACTACCACCTGTCTCTGCCTCTCAAGTGCTTAAATTAAAGATATGTGCTATCACACCCAGCAAGTCTAGACAATTTTATCCCAGTGTCATAACAGACATGCTTAATTTATACCTGACTCAAGACAGCACAGTCAGCCATGTACATACAGCTAAAATGCACGTGACATTAAGAAAAAAAAATGAGGTTTTGACAAGTCTCATATGAAAGACTCAGAAGCACTTAGGTAGAAGAACATGTGGACAACTAGCTGTCTGATGGCAGGACTCAAGGAAATGCATCCTACATGTGGAGTAACCAGAAGCAGGAAGTATTTAAAGCCTGTGGGTAAGGTTAGGGTACCAATGGAGACAACTTAGATAGGGAAGGAGGATGGACAAGGAGGAAGAATGAACACCAAGAACAGATCCTGGACTGTTAATTGTGGTGGAAGAGAACACAACCCAAAACCCAGGAACACTGTAACTGGGATCACTCCCCAGCTGGTAGAATCTCAACATCATACTCTTCAATTTGGTAGGACTCTGGGTCCCTGGTTGGTGGGCTGAGAAACAGAAACTAATTTGGGCCTTACTACTAAATAATTATATTAGATCTTTATATATTATATTATTTTATATTATATTATGCCTTTATATTATATTATAGTATATAATATTATATATTATACTACTAAACAATTATATATATTACATTATGTCGGGAATATATAATCCGTTGTCGTCCTTATCGGCGAGGGCTGCGCGTGACAAGTGGTGCCGAAACCCGGGAGCCGCCGAACCCCGGAGTGGAGGATCGCTTCGAAGGACCCCGACTGCTCGTCGAGTAAGGATTCAAAGTCAGTGGCGTGAGAACCGCGGTACTTTTCTGCAAGGTATGATTTCTGTGGTCTTGTTGTGTTGTCTGTGCCTTAGTTGTGGGAAACGGGACCATCAA